ATTATTGCTAGTAAGAGTTGAGACGTGTCATCCCTGGCGTTCTTGTTTCTCAAAGAATACATATGCATTTTGTTGATTTGCGTATTAAGCTTTTTTTTTGATATGTCTCAATTAATAAACACAGTTCGTAATTTATATATAGATAATAATATCCAATCAAATTTATTATCTTTGGTGTATAAATACTTGCAGACTGGTCATGGGACAATTTTTACTTTTATTCCTAATATTACATTTCAGACGCAAGTTCCTTTCTCATTCAGCTGTTAGGAATTTGTCTTCATTAGTTTGAGGGCACCTTACCTTGGAATGGTGTGATTTTACGTTTTCTTGTTTTGGTTGTGATGTTTTGTTTTAAGGGTTTTATTGTTTAGTTTGTTGTGAATGCTAAGAGAATATCAACAATTGTTTATTAAAAATCCGATAATATTGAAAATATCTAGATAGTTATAAAATCACCTGGTCATATATCTTCTCTCTATCGATAACAATTGCTTTCTTTAAGACTTTTTTACACTGGCATTGATTTTTTCTTTTTTTTCTTTTCTCTTTTTTTATATATATGTTATATATGAGCACAGAGTCTCACTCCGTCGCCAGGCTGCAGTGCAGTGGCGTAATCTCAGCTCACTGCATCTCTGTTTCAACGCCATTTTCTGCCTCACCGCTTCGAGTAGTGCGATTTAGGTCATGGCCACCACACCCTAGTTTCAAATGTTTTGTGTTTTTTGTTTTTAGTAGCTCTCCTGACCTCCTGATCCACCCACCTCGGCCTTCCAAAGTGCTGGGATTACAGGCATGAGCCACTGCGCCTGGCCTGCATCGATTTTATTTTTTTTAAACAAAAAAGAGAATATTCTGAGCATACTATTCTACAATCCAGTTTTTTACTATTTACAATCTCACCATTTTCCAGTGACCATGTAAAGGTCACCCTCATTCTCTTAAATAACTGTATACTATTAGCTTATATGATATATTGGTCAAGGTTCTTAGTTATGGATAACATAACCTACTTTTGTTAGTTTAGGCAAAAAGGAATTTATTAAGGAGTGTATATATATATATATATATTTCATTTGGAAGAACTTAAGAAATCATTTTCAAAATAAGCTTCCAGGAAAAACTTCCAAAAATTTTACCACAGAACAGGACTGACAAGAGGCCACTGCCTCTGCCATAATCGAAAATTGCAACAGAGCTGTAGACTCCAGAATCACTCGTCTCTTCCATGGTCAAGAAGCTGCCAAGTTAGGAAACCAGCTCGCAAATCAAGATGCCACCTAACAACTTCTAACTCCAATCTCTTGTTGCCTCTATTACATTCATGCAAGCAAAATAAATGTTATGCCTTGACTCTCTCCTTATGTAGCTCTGTTCTGAGTCAAAGTGTCATGTGAATACATGTAGCAGGTGAAACCTAATTTGTATGTGGAAACTTTCTGCAAGAGCCTGGGAAATTCCCTATTAGCTTTTCAGCTTCTATAGTGTAACAAGACACTAAATTGTTATGAGACACTTAATTGCTGTGCTTCCACCACATAGGGATAGACCATTATTTATAGATTGTTTTTGTAAACACCATTACAGAGGAAACAGTTTTTGGGGTTTTTTTGTTTTTGTTTTTGTTTTGAGACAGAGTCTTTCTGGGTCGCCCAGGCTGCAGTGCAATGGCGTGATCTTGGCTCACTGCAAGCTCCGCTTCCCAGGTTCACTACATTCCCCTGCCTCAGCCTCCCGAGTAGCTGGGACTAGAGGCACCCGCCAAGCCCAGCTAATTTTTTTTGTACTTTTAGTAGAGATAGGGTTTCACCCTGTTAGTTAGGATGATCTCGATCTCCTGACTTTGTGATCTGCCCGCCTCAGCCTCCCAAAGTGCTGGGATTACAGGCGTGAGCCACTGCACCCAGCCCAGTTTTTGGTTTTTCAGTAAAGCCCTAGAATTTAGAAACTGTGAGTTTATTGGAGGTCTCTGATTAAAATGCAATTACAACACAAAATGTTTTTTGAGGTTAATCTTTCCATTGATTTTTTGCACAGGCGACATCATTGTCCACATGGAATCACAAGGATTTATGAAAATTCTGGGGTGTTTTGCCCTACAACTGAACATTTGGAAAAATATCCTATGTATGACAATGTTCTTCCAGCTCAGAGTCTTAAACCCAAGCAAGAAATGCGAGCATGCCGTGATAAAATGGAAGGAATAACTACATTTAAGTAAATATTTAGTAACTATTTGCTTTACTTATTTTTCTCCCAACTCTTCTGGTGTCAATAAAGTTTTCTAGCTATTTAAATTACTGTTTAGTTGATTTAAGTTGAACCAATTTGATAGGCAACCGACTAGTTAAATCACAACTTGAAAAAAAAAAAAACAAAAATACGAATTAAGTTAGGTTGACAAAGTGTGAGAAGAAAAAAGGGATATAAAAAGTTCTATTTTTTTTTTTAACTTCCTAAAATATCTCGTATTTATCTACTTTCCACTGTCACCACCACCTAGACCAGGGTGTCTTATCTTTTGGCTTCACTGGGCCACATTGGCAGAATTGTCTTGGGCCGCACGTAAAATACAATAACACCAACCATAGCTGATGAACTAAAAAAAAAAAAAAAATCACAAGAAAATCTCATAATGTTTTAACAAAGTTTATGAATTTGTGTTGGACCTCATTCAAAGCCATCCTGGGCCGCATGCAGCCCATAGGCTGCAGGTTGGACAAGCTTGACCTAGAAGAATGCAGTCACTTTATAATAATATCTGAATCTACTCTAGTTTTTGCAGTTTGATCTGTTTTCAATACGTCAGCCTGCCCAAATGATTTTAAAATGCAAACCAAACCCTATCACTTTTTTGCTTAAAATACTCTTAAACTTTCCCATTGTGTTTAACACAAACTAGAATCCTTATCAAAACCATGTAGAGGCATGGTTTGCTCACTACTTAATTCTCTAATTCATTTTCACTGTAGTGCCCTTTTCACTTTTATGCTCCATCCCATGGGCCATTTTTCATTTCCTTGAAAGTGCCAGGTTTCCCTTATCTCAGAGTCTTCCAAGATACTATTTTCCCTACCTGCAATTTTCCTTCCCTCTCTTAGCTAATGCTCATTCAATCTGTAGATCTCAACTACATTATCACTTGAATAAGCCTTCTCTGATACTTCCTCCAGTTTTCAGATTAGGTAAAATTCTTCTATGTAAGCTCCCAAAGCACCTTCCTATTATTTATCATTAGATTGGTTTCAGTGTTTCATGAAAGCAGGAGCTAAGTCTTTTGTTATCTCAGCATTCTATTTTTAGAAAACTGGTAACAATGCCTACTAGCACATAGTAGGTACCCAATATTTGTTCAGTGAGTGATGAACACAAATCTTCTTAAGCCTATACTTTTCATTTGGACTGACCTTTTTTGATCTGTCTGTATTTTTGTCAGTTAGGTGGATTACATATTATATTTACTCATTATTTTATTTAAACTGTTAATGTATATACTATATTCAAGGTACAATCTTGGTGTTAAGTATAAAAATGTCAATAAGTTTATGAACCCCAAATATCTGAGATAGGTCTCAGTTAATTTAGAAAGTTCATTTTGCCAAGGTTGAGGGTGCGTGCTGGTGACACAGCCTCAGGAGGTCCCAATAATAGGTGCCCAAGGTGGTCAGAGCACAGTTTGGTTTTATACGTTTTAGGGAGACACATATCAATCAACATATATGTAAGATGAATATTGGTTCGTTCCAGAAAGGCAGGACAACTCGAAGCTGGGAGTGAGCTTGCAGGTCATAGGTAGATAAGAAATAAATGGTTGCATTCTTTTGAGTTTCTGATGAGCTTCTCCAAAGGAAGCAGTCAGATATGCATTTATCTCAGTGAGCAGAGGGATTTGAAGAGAATGGGAGACAGGTTTGCCCTAAGCAGTCCCCAGCTTCACTTTTCCCCTTAGCTTAGTGATTTTGGGGCCCCAAGATTTATCTTCCTTTCACAAGTTGAAGTTCCTGCTTCCTAGTGACTTGTACATCATATTTCTATAATTTAGAGTTTTAAAAATGCTCTGTAACAGCTTTAAATTTTGGTGTTAGCCATTTTCATTTCAGATGCAGCTCATTCTTATATAGCAAAGATACAAACTTTCTTTTTTTATTATTTATTTATTTTTATTATTACAGTTTAAACTTTCAAACTTTTAGTCTAATATTTCTATTTTTAACATTTCAGGCATTCCTTGCAGTAATAATAGTTTGGTGACTCTAGTTACTTGTGTAGGTGTATGGCTCTTCCACAGATGGAAGATTTTACTTAAGTCCTCAGATTTTGGTATGCAGTAGTGCCATCTAGAAGTGTTACAATTGCAGATTCCAGGTCTCCATCTAAAAGAGCCAGTAGATAATAGAGTGGGTCTCAGGAAACTGCATTTTTAACCAGCATTGCTAGTGACTCTGTTGCCACTGATTCAATGCAGTAGGTCAGGAACTGGACTGCTCACTGAGGATGACATGGAACATAAAACAGAGACAATCTTTGCTTTACTGTTGTTTATAGTGTTGTGGGAAAGTCCAAATATGAAAATATCAGATAAATAACTAAGATAATTATGGATTATAATAAGTGAGATGAGGAAATTCAATAACTGGTTGAGACTGATTAAATGGGAATGGTTGCTCTTTTTTCTTCACTTTATAAATATTTCTTTCTTAATGCCATAATGGTTCATATTAGAGATTTGAAATAAATTTTACAATATTTGTGTTTATTGAACAAAGATTTTGCTTTTAACCAGTTCTAAATGTAGAAATTGAGAAAATTTAACCTGCCATATCTTTCTTTTAAAAGGCAATTGCTTTTTAATTCTGAATTTCCCCAGTTGACTTACTCAAATAAGCCTTAATAATTGGGAAAAAAAAAAAAAAGCAAGAAATGTCCGAAAGGTCCAAATATACCAATAAAACTAAAATATTCATTTCTTAAATTGTCATCTCTTCACTTAGTATGACATTGGATCTTTTCTTTCTATTTTCACTGGGAAACTAGCAGTATTTCTAAGAGTCATAATCTAGGAGCTTGAAACTCTTGCTTGACTCCCTCATGTTGACTGTGGTGACTATGCAGTAGAAAGTGGATTTATCTGTACAAACAAAGAAGCATTCTGTACCTTTGTATAGTACAGGAAGTGACTGTGTAAAGAGGTGTCTGAACTTGTACAAGATTTTGGATCCCTTATAGCAGTCCTGTTGTAGCCCACTTAAATGACTGCCAGAGTTGGCAGGAAGCCTGCCCTGAAGGAGTAGGATTCTAGACACATCAGATGTTTCAGGATATATCAGATGAATAAGACTGCATTCACCCTCTACTACTACATAGAAAGCAGCTTTGGGTTTGGAGGTATACTTTCTAACACTTAACTAGTCTAACCAGAGAAACTGAGAGTTCTAAGCTTTTGCTTTGCTTTTCCCTTCCTGATTCTCTCACTTCCTGACTGCATTTTAGCCTATTCCCCTCTAGTTAGTATTTGGGAAGAGCAAAGAACAACTGACATGTCTTGGGAGGCAGAGGTATGTGATTTCTACTACTCTTCATTCATTAAATAAAAAATTATTAAGCATTTATTAAGCATCAAGCACTATACTAGACACCTGGGATACAGTGGTGACCAAAAGCAGTCATGATCTCTGTGCTGACAGATGTTGCAACCTATTAGAGATGGCAATCAAAAACATTACTCAAAATAAGTCTAAAATTGCAACAGTGATAAGATCTATGAAGGATAGGCACAGGTACCTTGACATCCAGAACAAGAGTTTGACTTTATCAGGGAAATAAGAAAAATAAGTCAAAACCTGAAGGATGTTAAATTAGCTGGATTAAGAGGCGGAAGGAAATGCATTCCAAGCAGAGAGAGAGAGAGTAGCATGTAGCAGGAAGGAGCAGGGAAAGGAGAAAAGTATCAAAGAGGGCCAGCTGGAGCAGAGAAAGCAAGAGGAAGCATGGTGAGAGCTGAGGCTAGTGAAGGAGGCCAGGCAGAGCCTTTAAGCCATGTTCAGTGTCATCTATGTCTTTACGGTAATAAGAAGCCATGAAGGTTTTTCTGCTTTGTTTTTTTGGTAGAGGGTGAAGTTGGGGAGGAAGGAAGTTAAGGAAGAGGCTAGGGAGATAAGGGCAAGAATGACCTGATCAGATTTACATGGGAAAGAATTACTCAGGTTCCATGTGGAGAAAAGATTGGAGGGAGAACTAGAGTGGATGTGGGTAAATGAGTTTTGAAAGTTATTAAAGTGATTCAAATGAGCTGTTGCAAAAACTTTGCATATTATGGTAGTGGCAGATGTGGAGAAAAGTGGTTAGATTTGAGGGAGATTTATGAGGCAAAATTGACGGTAGTTGATGACGGACTAGATAGGGGAGAGAATTGACGTATGAAGGGTGAGTCCTAGATTTCTGACTATCTGTCTGAAGCGATGGTGATAGCATTCACTTAAATAGAGAACAAGCAAAAAGGACCACATTTATTAAGGGGAAATAACGAGTTGATTTGGGACATATTAAGTTTTGAGTTGCCACTGAATATCCAAGAGACCGTCATAGATGCTGGTATGGAGCTCAGAGAAGAGGTCTAAGCTGAGATGTAAATTTGAGAGTTTTTTCAATCTAGGTAGTAATCGAAGCTGTGGGAGTAGAAGAGTTATCCTCAGGAGTGAACAGTGGATGAAAAGAAGTATGTGTAGGTAGGTCTAAGTCTTGAGGAATGCTAACATGTATTTAATGACCGAGTAAAGGTAGATGAAGTTGCATAGGAGACTGGCAAGAAATAATCAGGAAGTCAGGAAGAGCAAGTTTCCTAGAAACAGACAGTGTGGACAATAATGTCAATTACTGCTAGAGAGGTCAAGTCAGATGAGGATTAAAAATGTTCGATGAATTTAATCACATGGAAGACATAGTGAACCTTAGAGCAGTATTAGGGAAGTGGCAGTCCTGGAAACCAGATTGAAATGGATTGGAGTGGGTGAGAAAACAGTTAATTAGTCTAAGAAGTTATGTTGTGAATAGAAGAATTCAGTGAGGGGTTTGGGTTCTTTGGAGAACTTACAGACATATGCAACAAATATTGGTTAATACAAGATAGTTTAATCACAAAATGAGTGATGTGCCAATAGAGTCCAGAAGAAAAAAGCAATCCATGAAGTCTTGGGGTAGTAACAGTAGTGGCTGCCATATTGATCTTACTGTGTACCAAGCAGTCTTAAAAGTGTGTGTGTATATCCTTAAAAACAACTCTGTGAGATAGAAGATATTATTGTCCCATATTATATATAAAGAAACTGGGGCATAAACAGGTTAATGAAGTTATCCAAGGTCCTGCAGCTAGTAAATGACAGAGCCAGGATTTGGACGTAGGCGGTCTGATCAGTTTAAGTTTGTGTTCTTCTCCATTCCTCAGTTTTTACCTCAGTGTCTGCAGTTCTACCTCTGTCACATAATGTTATATAGCGCCCAGGTTGGCTGCATTACCAGCTGGCATCCATCCATGACAAGGAATTCTGGGAGATCCAAAGATGAGGAACATTCACATCTATAATCTGAATGTGATTTATGTCTAAAGACCAGAGTTACTAATCATTTAACAATAAGTGAGAAAACAGCATGAATTCAAAAAGAAGAAAGTATGCCAAAATAGTTTGCTGGAGACTTTAAGTAGGATGAATAAGGACTTTGACAAAGTGGACTCGGGGAATATATTTTTTAAACTTTTCAGGTTTAGTAAATTTTACCTGAAATTTCCTTCCAGGTTAGAAAAAAAATCAATTACTTGAGGATAGTGTTTACTGAAGATCCAATTAACTGAGATCTATTGTAATGATGTTTTCAAAACTAGAATTTTTGATATATTTACTTTTCTCAAGATACTTAGTCTCTGGATAGGACCTTATGAAAATTCATTTACTTCTTTCAAGTAGTTTATCAACTATTACCATTTTAATATCTTCTCAGACTTTCCAAGTAAAAAAAAAAAGCCTTGACATTTTCCATACTTCATTGAAATAATTAGAAATAAAAGAACTTGCGAGGCTATGTTTCAAATTTATATATTTCAGGTTGGATTATCATCCTTATGAAATATTTAAACAGCCTCGCCATGTGCCAGAAGAATATAAACCAAAACAAGGGAAGATTGATCTTGGTATTACCTACAAACGGGATTTTAATTCGTACAAAGTGCAGCCTGTGGCAATAGTCCGGCCTTTGGAGAGACAACAAGTTAAAAAAGGAAAGTTGGACACTGTCCCGACTTATAAAGGTAACTTGCCATTTCATAAATGAAGGAGCCAAAAACTAAAATTCACTTCCAGCTTTAACATCTAATATCAAATTATAACTTTGGTGTGCTGCCAAACTTAGCCTCCATGGCTCAGGGAAGAACATTTCTCTCTTTGGCAAAATAGTATTGTATAGTAACAAAAGAAAATAGACCATTTGTCTGATTGAGAGGTAAAAGACCCACATTCCCATCCAAAGTCATCTACTTTATTAGTTTTCGCTGTCTCAAAACATGAAAAACAAAGGATGCCATTAAACAAGCATTATGTCACATTTGTCACTTCATGTCACCTTTAGTTGGCATTGTTCTTTTCTTCCCATCCTAGAAAAAGTTGAAATGCTTCCGAGAGTATTGGGATCTTTGAGGTCAAATAAATAGCAATGCTTTTCTCCATTCAAGTCCTGAACCAACCTATAAAGCAAAAGAGTTACCAGATGGAGAAGCACAATGTTACTTTTACACTGATAAAGGACAAAATAGAGAATGAAGCTTTCATCTGTAAGCAGGTGATTCCTGATATTGAGCCTCAGAATTAGATAGGCTTATCTACCCCATGATAGACAGTGCCAAATGGGGTCCTGCTCCTCTAAGAATTCTGGCATGGTGGAAGAGTGAGAATACTTTCCCTTTGCAGGCAACTGACTTAGAGGAGTATGAGATGAGCCATGTATGTTTTTCTTTCCAGAAACCTGTTTTTTTGTTGTGGTGGTTTTTGGGTTTTCTTGAGACAGAGTCTTGTTCTGTCGCCCAGGCTAGCATGCAATGGCACGATCTTGGCCCCCTGCAACCTCCACCTCCTGGGTTAAAGCAATTATCCCACCTTAGCCTCCCAAGTAGCTGGGATTACAGGTGCACACCACCACACCCAGCTAATTTTTTCTATTTTTAATAGAGATGGTGTTT